AACGAAAATGCTATGATAAATGAACCCTACTATGAAGTATATGTCCGTATATAAGCATACTTGTCGGCTTGGCTATGCAGTAAGAAAGAAATAACAATAAAAAAAAATTGTATTTTGATTCGGACATTTGCTCAAATAATCTCATTGAAGAGTATCTATCTTCGGCGGTGTTGGAGTCCAATTGAATTCACATCAAGTGTGTCTAGAATGGATTGGCGAGGTAAAATATTGAATCTAATGGAGATACTATTAAAATTCGTCAAGAATAATGTTATTTAGCACCAATGATGTTAAAATATCATTCTACGTGGCATTATGTGATTGTTCAATTGAAGGTGAAATTACGTGACTTATATCATTGTACATTTCATTTAATGACATTTATTGCCAACCAAATTGGTGTTGTAAAAATTGTATTATAGAATTGTCAATTGATTTATTGAATAATGACGATTGTTTGGTAGAGTCGACTATACATTATTGGACGATAAGAAAATGAAACCCTAAAGTCGCGTCTGCTATATTGACCACTTTTGTGAAATACGGTATATCAAACATGCCCATGGATTAAAAGTAAAAAATTACTACAAATAAGAATTTCCAAACTTATTCAAGGGATTTTATTTTCTCATCCATGGCAATTGATTTCTTGCAATGAGCAATTGCTGCCTGAATTGCACTCTGCAACTCTTCCATAGTACTGTCACTTACTGAAGTAGGAGTAAGAGTTCCATTTGCTACTAATCGACCACTGTTTGTTGGAGATGCTTTCATTGAAGCTGGTGCCGAAAACTCCCCTCTTCTTCCTCTTAACTCTGGCTTCCCTCTAACGCGTAAATTACCTGAAAATGAATAGGATTGCCTGGGAAACTTGTTCCCTCTTTTGAAGGACAAAAGGGGTCGAACCATTCTAGCGTATCTCTTCAAAACCTGAGATATATCGAATTTTAACTTCTTTTTCTGCCTCTCTCTGTCGCTCTTTTCTTCTTTTCGCCATTTCGATAGACTAAACAGAGAAAAAGACTTGGATTTTGATCTTCCTTTTGCATCAACCGTGTGATCAATATTGATATCAGTACTATAGATTGTTTGAATGGATTCTAATTCTTTTATAGGTAGGGTAAAACTGTCCAAAGAGTTGATCGAAGAACGAGGCGAAACTGGAAGGTGGGAGACGAGGTGGAGAGGAAGTAAATGGCCATGGAAAAATATATCATCTGCTGGAGATAAATCTATGGCTAATGAAGAAGGGTTTTTATTTTTTTCCAGGACTTTTGCAGGTGCTGGAGGATGAAGAGAAATGAAGGAGAATTCATGAGAAGGAGATGAAGAAGCTGAAGGGGGTAAAGCTGCTGCAATTGGTTGTAGCTGATTATTCATTCTCTGCAAATTTTCTTCATGTTTCTCTATCATTTTATGATGATGTCTGTCTATGATTCAATGCTTAAGATATGTCTGATCTGAGGTTTTCTTGAAGTTGCCTTGATCTAATATTCTCTGGTTAGAAATATGAGGAAGATAAGGATGTTGGGAAGTACTGGCGTTTATGTGTGTATTGAGAGGATGTAGGGATAGGGGTAGGGGTAGGGGTATGGGTATGGGTATGGGTA